TCTCTCTCTCTCTCCTTATGAAAGTGAAGTAAAAATGAGATAACGTTTTCTTTTAAAAAATCACATCTCAACCTTAACACGCATTTCTTATCGTCATAACATGGTTCAACCAAGGGACATAACTCAATAAATTTCCTACAAGTAAGCAGCCCTTCCCTCCTCACACACACTCACGACATAACAGAACGTTCCAGAGAGGTAACTTCGCCACGACTATTTTGCAAAGCAAGGGACATAACACAGAAAATATTGGAAGCTGAAGGCCGAGATGATAGTTCACAACCTCAGCGCTTTCTTGTCCTATCTCAGGCGCTCGTCAATTTTTGAGCATGTGGAGTTACAGGTATCGTCTTAAAGCTTGTTCGTTTCTCTTGCTTTTGATGAAAAAAAAATACCCATCTATTTAGAGCAGAAGTGAAGATATTTGTGATTGAAAGAGATAAGTTCACTTGGTTTCAGCAGTAGAAATAGCGAGAAAATTGTCCACAAATTTAAGTAACTTCAAAAGCTACAAAGTCCTTGAAAACGGAAAAACTACATATTTGGAGCTTAAATCAACGTTTTTCAATATAATTCAATTGGGAATGTGTTTTGATTTGGACATAAAGAGGTTGAACGAAAACAAAACATCTGATTAAAATTGCAAAATGGTGGAAAAATGCCAGTTTCTCTAATTTTTTTATTTTGACGAGCGCCTGATTTCACCACGATGCCTCACATTTTTTAAAAACATTGTAGATGTGTCTTTTTCTTCTTAAGCTCACTCTTTGTTATGAACTATTTTCGTTGTTATTAAAAATGGAGACAAGACAAGAAACCACTGGGGTCGCGAGTTATTGTCGGCACTTGTGCATTTAGTTATAACTCCCTGACCATTTTGAGATACAAGGGGCATAACACAATGAGAAATATTTGAAGCTGACGGAAACCAACTGTTGGCAGTACTAGTGTTATGATATTATAGCGTTTAACGTCTAGAATCCCCAGGGGTGGGGTGGGGGGGGGTGAAAATTATCACAGTAAACACATCTTTTCTTTTCAAGATGACACAGTCACCTCCTAATCGGTACCCCAGAATTGCACCGTTCTATTTGCTCAGTAGTACCCAGTACCCAGTTTTGAGAACTTTAACGTAAAAAAAAAAATTGAGTTTCACACCATGTCAAGCTTTTTTGAAAGCAATTAATTAATTACATGTATCTTGAAACGACTTTGAATATACTTACGATTTTGACAGAGCAGATAGATTATTTGGTTCCTGACCTCTTGGTCTTCGTACCCCATAAAGGACAAAAATGTCAGATACAATTTTGTAATTATAATATAGCGTAATTACTCTCCTCTTTTTCTTCCTCTTAAAGAGGCTATAACTACGGAATTAACGCGATTACTCGTTTATTTGTTATAAATGTACACGTCTTTTCTTTACGCCCCATCGACACGACTTAAATCATTTAGGAGACGGGCTTCTAACCCAGTCTGAGAGGGACACAGCATCTCAGCAGAAAAACTGAGACACTCAATTAAGATTAAAATTCAGGACTCGAACTCGGGACTCTTGAACAGTGAGGCTAGTTTCGGACAGAGGCTTTTTCAGTCTAGCTGGCTGTCTGTTCATCGTGAGAGAGGGGGGGGGGAGGAAGTAAAAGGGAATGGGGGTAGAGAGAAGGGGATGAAGAGAGAGAAGGGGAGAGAGAGAGAGGAGAGAGAGAGAGGGCAGAGAGGATGGGAATTAAGGAGGGGGGAGTAGGGGTGCTACAGAGGAGAAGAAGAAGAAAAAGAAGACTAAGAAGAAAAAGAAGACTAAGAGGAAGAAGAAGAAGAAGAAGAAGAAGAAGAAGAAGAAGAAGAAGAAGAAGAAGA